TAAATTTATAGACAATAGTCATTATATGTCATATCTATTTTTTTATACCCCATAGTTTAAAAATAATTTAAGTCTTATAAATCAACCATTAAATTAATTTTTCTTTCATTTCGAAAATCATATTTTAGAAATACGTCAACTCATTTAAAAAAAAATTTATCCACATTATAAATTAAAAGAAAAATAATCTTTTCTATTCCACCTTATCATTTAAAATTCATTAATATTTTTTTAAAAAAATTATCTAACAAAGATTTATTTTGATTTTTAAAGAAAACGGGGTATGCGGGAGAAATTTGGTGAAAAATTCTATTTTGCAGAATTATGAAAATCGAATTTGTGAAAAATGGCTTAGTTAACCCCCACCCCCTCAATTCTTAAATACTTTACATGTTCGCATATTCCTATTTATACATTTGTAAATAGATTTATTAAAAGCCCAGACGATTTTAAATTTATTTATATATTATTTCTTTTCTACCTCCCCCGCCCTGCCTTGATGAAAGAAAAAAAATATTATTTACTTTTCGTTTTATTTTACTTTTTTTCTCCCTTTCAAAAAAATAATTACATTTTTATATGTAATATAAATAAACTAATAAAATATTTTTCATTGTAACTTTAAATACAAAAATTATTCTTACTTACCATCTATTATATATGCGCCATATAAAAAATTGCACAAATCCTTAATTTTTGGTATTAGTTTACATAAAATTGTTTTTATTTAGTTATTTTTTAAAATAGTACCAAAGATTTTCTTCTTCTAAAAGTTATACTTCAAAATTTATGAATAAATTACCTCTTATTTGATAATTAATTTTTATACTTTATACTTTTTTATAGTACTGTTTGTGACTTCCCTTCTATGTTTTTTGATTGAAATTAACCAAGATTTTAAGAGGCATTATTATTGTATATTCCACATAAAACCACAGAAAATAGATTATTTCGGCATGTTAAACTGCTCGATTAGAGCCGATTTTTAAAAACGGCTAACTCAATATTTTATCCAGATAATTATTACGTAAGCCTTATAAGATTGTGGTCATAGATGGCACAAAAGTTTGGACATATATCAGCCATGTTGAGGTTTAGGTAATATTAATAATAGCATGGTCATATTCTTAAAATAATACACATAAGTCAATTAAATTTAATTAAAATTTTTTTTTATTTAATAAAGAAAAAAAAATTAATATTTGAAAGAAGAAATAAAATTAAAATTATGATTATAATAATAGATAATAGCGTTTTACGTTTCTCAATTTCACGTTTTATATAATAGATTTCATAATATATCATTTATTTTTGATTCCGCGTTTTTTATAATATATGATTTTATATTTATTTTTAATTACGCGTTTTATATAATAATTTTTATCAATATTAAATTTCAATTTTATCATCATTTTTTTTATATATCTTTAATTGTAGCGTTTTGTATAATAATTTTTTTTATTAATATTAAATTTCTATTATTTTTATTTTTTAAGGCTGCATTCATAGTGGAGACG